AGGGCTTTAGAGTTTGGGGTTTAGGGGTTTAGGGCTTTGGAGTTTGGGGTTTAGGGTTTAAGGTTTTAGAATTTGGGGTTTAGGGTTTAGGGTTTTGGAGTTTGGGGTTTAGGGGTTTAGGGCTTTGGAGTTTGGGGTTTAGGGTTTAAGGTTTTAGAATTTGGGGTTTAGGGTTTAGGGTTTTGGTGTTTGGGGTTTAGGGGTTTAGGGGTTTGGAGTTTGGGGTTTAGGGTTTAAGGTTTTAGATTTTGGGGTTTAGGGTTTATGCGAAATCTGTGAAGGTCACTGGCGACAGTCGAAAAGCAATCCCTGAATTATTTAATGAAAGCACATGCTCGAATGCATCCTCTGCCATTATTCTCGAAGGTCCCCTAGGTCACCCGTGACTACGTCAACGATGGCGAAAAAGACAGGAACGTTCGCGTGCTGCCTGAGGTGTTAGAGATCTCAGGTGGTAGCGGAGCGCTGGACGGCCACAGGTACGACCTGGCGGCTGGGAAGCGCACGACTTCCGCGTTTTTGGTTAGCCTACAGAGATGAATGGTCCGGGGAAAGACGATGAGAGACCCAAGCTGGAACGGTTCGACGGGAGTGATCCAAGCATGTATCGCAGATGGCGAAGGAAAGCAGAGCTGATGTTGTTGGCACTGCCGAATACCTACACGAAGGATCGTTGGGGTGCCAAACTTCTGGAATACGTGTCCGGGGAGGCAGAAGAAGTGTGTGAAAGTTTGCCACTGGATAAGTTGACAAAGGAAGAAGGGCACAAGATGATCTTCGAGGCGCTGGACGAAAGGTACAAGGAGTTGGACAAGGAGTCGCTGCACAAACATCTCCAGGAGTACTTCTACGGACTGAAGATTCGGCCTGGAGAGTCATACCGAAACCTCACGGTGCGGCTGGACACGTCCTACAGGCGCTTGAAGGAACATGCCGTGGAGCTACCGGATACAGTCAAGGGATGGTTCTTGCTACAGAAGCTACAGCTGGAGCAGTCAGCCCAAGCCATGGTGTTGACCGCAACCAAGGGTTCCCTGAAGTATGCCGAAGTGGACAAGGCGATCCAAGCGATCTTTCCACAAGGGGTCGCTCGAAGTGGTTCGAACAAGACAAAGGAGGTCTTTACCGCTGAGGGCGAGCAGGTGGAGTTGGCAGAAGACGAGACCGCCGACGACGTCTACGAGGCAATAGCCGAGGCGATGCAAATGACCGAGGAGTACGATGACGAGGAGGCGTTGGATGTCTTTGAGACATACAAGGACATCCGTCGTCGAGTTCAAGAGAAGAAGCTCGGCAGAGGCTACAAGGGTCACCAAGGTGGCGACTGGAAGCTGACGGGAACAGTAAAAGGAAAGCTGGAACTTTTGAAGAGCAAAACCCGATGTCACCTGTGCAAGGAGCGAGGACACTGGAAACGAGAGTGTCCGAAGAAGGGACAAGTTGGTGGCAGTGGACAGAGACAACAGCGACCGGGAAGTTCGAGCGATGCAATGGTCGCTGACGATTTCAGCGAGGGATACAAGGGGCTCGATGAGGAGCACTTTTTGGATGTCGACGAGCTAGACAAGTTCGAGATCTTCTTGGCAGAGCGCGGCAACGACATCGACGTGGTCGTGGCAACGAAGAAGGAGGCCATGGAGGATGACGGTGAAGTGAGTGGGGACTTTGAGCACCGTTTAAAGCAGTTTTTCAGCAGCTCAGATGCGAGCAAAGACGCCGATGTCAGCGAGGCATATATGGCTGATTTTGCTGATGTTGCTGAGCATGGGGTTCCAGATACTGCATGTCGTAGAACTCTGGTAGGACAAGCAGTGCTGAGTAGGATGTCAAAGACACTAGAGAAGTCAGGGCTGAGGGTGAGATACATTCCTGAGTGCCATGAGTTTCGTTTTGGAAACGCTGGGACTTTGAGATCGAGTGTGTCAACCTTGATTCCCGTGTGTCTGGGTGGTAAGCAGCTGGCGATAAGAGCAGCTGTGTTGCCGGGGTCTGGAGCAGAGACGCCACTTCTTCTTTCTAAGGAGTTGCTTAGGAGTTTGCAAGTTAAATTAGATATGGGGAATGATGAGTTAGAGGTTGGCAAGTATGGGTTCAAGATTAGCCTTAAAGAGACTGAGCGGGGGCACTATGCGATACCACTGTTTGCTGGGTTTTCGTCTGGCAATGACAAGAACGTGGTGACACAGAATGAGAATGTAAAGTTGCTGGACGTGAATGCCGCAGAGTGCTGTGTCAAGGCCAAACAGGTCAGCTTTAGCGAGGAGCCAAAGAGCACGCCAAGCCATGAGCTACCAAGGACCGATGGTGCCAGATGCTCCGATGGAGGGGTTCCAGAGGACACAGCTGATCGTAGACCTCATGAACGAAGTGGCGGGCCAGAACAACGGGGAGATGTCGGACCTCGACGCGAAGATCCTCGACGAAGCAGCCGATCTCAGCGAAGACGAGCCCGCAGACAGCGTGCCAGGAGTAGGTGGAGTGCTGGGAGCGGTGATCTTCAATGTGGGGAAGTACCAGAAGCAGGGGGGCTCTCATGAACTTCCGCACCGCATACACGCAGGACAAGAAGTATGTTTCGTGGGTCAGGAAGTTCATCAAGGGACGTTCCGAGCCGGCAGCTGGGAAAACCTACCACCCAACCATGGTGCAGTTCCGCCTCTACATCGCACTTCGGGATCAGATGAAGTCGACGCGGATTCAGCAATGCCAAGGTGCACCGCCAATGTTGGTGGCACGGGGGGGCCAAGCCCCAGTGCCAGTGATGACGCGGCCAAAGGCGAGAGCAATGCCACCGCGATCGGATGTTCTTAATGTCAAGTCGCCAAGGTCCGCCGGAGAGCGAACATGTGGTGAGCAGCAGCTCTACAGCACGGCATGCAATGGGTCCAAGTGCAAGGGAGCTGGAGCTGGACGACCACTGGCTGTTGATGAGCGAGACCGGCGAGTACAGGAACGAGACGAATGCCGAGCGTCGCCGACGGCAGCTACGAGAGAAGATCGAGGCCATGACACACGAGCTGGAGGCCTTGGAAGACGATGCGGAGATCTGAGGTCGACGCGCGAGGCAGCTCATAGTCCGGAGCTGCATGTTATGACAAAGTCTGAGAGAAAGCTGTGTAGGCGTGGGTTGGAAGCTTGCACTCCATGTTCCGATGATACGTATGTGACGGAAGGCAGTGTTGACGCTGTGGTTATGCAATCGGGATGTGGAGAAGAAGTGCTCACGGCAGTGGGTCTCAGCGTGGAGTCTCTTTTCCCGCACCTGGAAGCGTGCGATGTGCGATCGTCTGCAACGATTGAGAAAGCTGTGAAAAAGATCCGAGAGCTTTGTCCAAGGCTGCTTGTGATAACCCCACCCGATCACATGACGCGCGCAAGGGGGCACAAGTCTATGGTTAGGACTTTTCATGCCAGGCATCGTGCTGCTTACACCAAGCTTGTTAGTGCGCTGTGTGCTGAACAGATGTGTGAGGGCAGGCTGTTTTGCATTGAAGATGTGAATGAGTGTATGAGCGACAGAGTGAGTCAGTGGAGAAAGCAGAGGAGCGATGAGAGAGTGTTTGCTGTGGAGAGACATGAAGAAGATAACTCATGGCGGTTGTACACCAATTGTGGAAGGATAAGCGAGGAGGCCAGGAAAACGTGGTTGACACGACATGAGTTGCAAGATTCCCGGAGGTACATGAAGGACATCGCGGCAGGGTATCTTAGGGCGAAACATGACATTGCTGAGGTTCATGTGGCTCACTGTGTGTACAGCATTGAGGATTTGAGGAGTCAGGATCCACAGGACGAAAGGCGAATCATGAGCACGTTGAAGAGGTGTCATGAAAACTTAGGTCACCCTTCTCCCGCTAGGCTGAACATGTTGTTGAGAGCGGCTCATGCGAGTGAGAAAGTGCTTAAGCTGGCTAAAGGGTTGCAGTGTGAAACTTGTGCTGAGTTGACGCGACCGAAGTCACATCATGTCACGAAGTTGCGTAGGGCCACTGAGTTTAACCAACAGGTGTGTGTTGACACGTTCGAACAAGAGGTGAGAGACATGAAGGTGCATTTCCTGAATATAGTGGATGAGGCTACGGGGTATCAGATGTGTGTGCCACTGTGGAAGGGGATGCAAGCCAAGGTGGTCAGGAACGCGTACCGAAAGAACTGGAAACGGTGGGCTGGGGCACCAATTCGCTTGTTCAGTGATGGGGGCAAGGAGTTTGAAGGGGAGTTTGAACATGGGTTGAGTTTGGATGGGACTTACGGTGACACGTCGGCGGCGTATTCTCCTTGGCAAAATGGGCTTGTGGAGAAACGAGGGGATGTGTGGAAAACTGCCTATGCTAAAGCTCAACTTGAGGTTCGTCCACGAAGCAAACAAGAAGCGCAGGAGCTCATTGACCAGATCAATAATGCAGTGAACAGCATGACACGAAAGGATGGTTACAGCCCAAATCAGCATGTGTTTGGTAGAGATGTGAGAGTGCCTGGGTTGGTGTGCAGTGATCCTGATCCAGTGATAAACTCTTCACTGGCGCAAGGAGAGTCTGTCTTCGAGCGAAGGATGGCACTAAGGACTGCAGCCAGAAAGGCTTTCCTGGATGCAGATGGAGAAGCTCGTATTCGTCGAGCCATGGAGCACAGGACCAGGCCAGAGCGAGGACCGTTCCAAGAGGGGCAGTTGGTCTATTTCTGGCGAAAGAATCGGTTTGAGAACCGACACCACTGGCACGGCCCAGGAATTGTCATTGGGAAAAGTGGTGGGTCAAAGGTCTGGGTTGCTAAAGGTACAAAGGTATACAGGTGTTGCCCAGAACAGTTGCGCGGACTTTCACCAGATCAGGAAGCGGTAATCAAGTTGTTGCCAGCAGACATGATACACATGCGTGATCATGTGAGTGCCCGCGGTGCTGGAAACTATCATGACCTTAGTGCGTTGGATCGACCGCCTGACGGTGATGGAGCAGAGCAAGCAGCAGATGACATTCGGAGAAATCCGAGAAGTCAGGGGGATGATCAAAGCACAAATGAGCCAAGCGGACAAGTTGATAGCGTAATGGTTCCTGTTCCAGAGGGCGATGAGGAGGATTTGATTGAGGAACAAGGAATCTCTCGAAGTGGAGAGGTGCTCGGGCCTTCGGGCGGTGAATCTCCGAGTAAAAGAGCACGGACCACTAGCGAGCCGAGCCCACTGACCTTGATGATGCGTGCGAATCCCAACTTGCTTGATTCAGGACGAGCAACAGGATCAGGCCTGGTCAGTGAACCAGATGCCTCTGCTATTCCTGTGCCTGAAGTCGATGAGGCTGAAGACGACTTGGAGGTACATGCGTGTGAGAGTGATCATTGGCTTGTGGATCATGGTCGCATGAAGTTGGTGCGTGTGCATGTGGATGAGCGTGATCAGTTGTTTGTGCCGCAAGCATGCATGATGCCTGTTGATCTTGAGCATGTTGAGGAGTCGTGTCGAGTCGTGGGTTACAACAGGCAGGGTGAAAAGGGCGTAAAGGAGTACGATTGCAAAACGAGGAATGATGAATGTTTGTTTCTGCGGAAGCAAAAGTGGACTGGTCGTACTGAGTTTGGCTTGAAGCATGGTTGGCAGTGGCGAACGAATGAGTCGGTTGAGTGTCATGAGGTTGCAGCAAAGAAGGGCCGAAAGGAAGTGGCTGAGCACGAAGTGGGTGCGCAGCGAGTTGAGGGTTTAAACAAGGCCAAGTGCAAGGAATGGTCAAAGCTTGTTGACAGTGGAGCAATACGAGTGCATTGTGGAAAAGAGGCTGAGGTGTTGAGACGCGGACTGGACAAGAAGCGGATTCTGAAGTCGCGATTCGTGGTTACGGAGGCTGAAGCAAATTCAAGTCCAGCCACGAGTGACTTGAAGGCGAGATGGTGCATCCGTGGATACCTGGATCCAGATTTGCTGGAGCTTGACACAAGCTCTCCTACATTGTCCATGGAGGGGTTTGCCGTTGCTATGCAGTTAATTGCCGGACACAAGTGGACGTTGAACATCGCTGACGTTGAGGGAGCTTTTCTACGAGGAGATGCCCTTGACCCCAAGCGGGGAAGGTTGTTCATTGAACTTCCACCTGGAGGAGTTCCAGGAGTTCCAGAAGGCGCATTGGTGGAAGCAGTAAAGACGGTGTACGGCTTAGCAGACGCTCCAAAGGCATGGTGGCAGTGTTTCAAAAGTAAGCTGGAGTCACTAGGCATGCGCATGTCTCGTTTTGATCCTTGTCTCTTCTACTACTACTCTCAAAACAAGCTGTCTGGTATAATTGCACTTCATGTCGATGATCTTTGTGCAGGAGGGAACAAGGATTTCCAAGATCTGGTGCTAAAGCCGTTGAGAGAGATGTACCCGTTCAAGCACTGGAAGACTAGTAAGGGTGAGTTTCTTGGTAAGATGTTGGAACAGCAACATGATGGAAGCATCAAGATTCATCAAACGGAGTATGCTAGGCAGTTCAAGGGAATTGACTTGTCACGTCTGAGACGGAGAGAGCGTGGAGAGGCTGTGAGTGAAGAAGAGCGAACTCAGATGCGCGGTGTTCTCGGAGGAATCAACTGGCTTGTATCAGGGAGTAGGCCAGATCTGGGTGCGTGGAGCTCATTGCTGCAGCAGCGTGTTTGTGAAGCTACGGTTGCTGACCTTGTGGAGCTGAACAAGTTAGTGAGCCAAGTGCATGACAACAGCCAAGCTTGCGTGTGGATCAAATCCATTCCCATAGCCGAGGTTCAGTTTGCCATGTTGTCCGATGCATCATGGGCAAACGCAAAGGGATGCTGCAGTCAGGCTGGATACATGGTCGCTGCAGTTGACAAAGACTTAGCCGTTGGCAAATGGGGCGAGTTCTCAGTGATGCGGTGGAAAAGCTACAAGCAAAGTCGTCAGACACATTCAACTTTGGGTGCTGAGCTGCTTTCACTGTCTAGAGGACTGGCAGAAGCTCGCTGGATGAGGTCAATGTGGTGTGAAGCCATTTATCCTGAGTACGAGCTACGTCGGGACTATCAGTGGAGTACTCTCATTCCCATCACTGCTGTGATCGACTGCAAGCCCGTCTACGACCATGTGGAGGGGCCAGCCTTGTCGGTCAAGGACAAAAGGGTGGCCATTGAGATGATGCTCGTGAAGGAGGACATTTCAAAGTACAATGTTGCTCTGAAGTGGATGGCTACAACGCAGATGATAGTGGATGTTTTGACAAAGCGTGGTGCACCGCTTAATCTCTTTAAGAGGGTCATGAGTACTGGGAGGTTCATTTTGGTTGAAAACGAAGAAGTGGTTGCCATCACTTCAAAGAAGTGGTGACAGAGAGGCTTCGAGCATGTTATTTCCGGGATGTGCGAAATCTGTGAAGGTCACTGGCGACAGTCGAAAAGCAATCCCTGAATTATTTAATGAAAGCACATGCTCGAATGCATCCTCTGCCATTATTCTCGAAGGTCCCCTAGGTCACCCGTGACTACGTCAACGATGGCGAAAAGGACAGGAACGTTCGCGTGCTGCCTGAGGTGTTAGAGATCTCAGGTTAGGGTTTTAGAGTTTGGGGTTTAGGGGTTTAGGGCTTTGGAGTTTGGGGTTTAGGGTTTAAGGTTTTAGAATTTGGGGTTTAGGGTTTAGGGTTTTAGAGTTTGGGGTTTATAAGGGTTTAGGGCTTTGGAGTTTGGGGTTTAGGTTTTAGCGGTTTAGGGTTTTAGAGTTTGGGGTTTAGGGTGCTGGGGTTTCGGATTTAGGGTCTCGTCCCAGTCTGGTTGAACCAGAGCCTGAAACTCCAAACCAGAACCTCCTGAACACCAAAAACACAGAATCTTAAACAGTGAACCCCTGGCCGCCCTAAGCTCTAAAGCCCCTGTTGTTGTCAGGTTCATGGTTCAGGGTTCAGGATTTTGGGGGTTTTGGGGTTTAGGGATTGTCAATTGTTTGTTGTTGCAGGACCTTGCTCGACGCTTGGGCGCCGTTGCGGGGCGCTGAGTTTTAGCGGCGCAGTGGGGTCGGGGATCTTTGGGGCGCTCGATTCCCGAGCTGCCGAGATATCTACCATACATGTACATA